TAAACAGGCTCATTTATACTTCACAGAAAGGCAAGCTTAGAAAGATAGACAGTGAGTGTCACCAAAAAGAGGTAGGGAATGTTGGAGGTAACAGAAAAGCAAGTCTCTCCCTAAAGGGTGTATGTGAGAAAGGACAGACCAGGGTCTAATCAACATTGCTTTGAGTCCATGGATCTGAGAGTGCAGGAGCCTTGACTGACAGGCAGTGAACCTTGGGACTCTGCCCTGCTGTAGGACTCCAGTAAACCAACAACACAGCCATTGTCCCTGTCGAAACAGAAACATTGGCTGTGTTAGATCAGTTTCTGTTATTTCTAGTGCTCTTCCTAAGAAAGGATGACTTTCTTCCTGAGCCTGGCTTTCAGACAGACATCTGGACGGAAGACAGAAGATGAAGAGCTGACCCTCTGAAAGCTGTTGCCGCCATGATGATGCTCAGACTAAGTTACCTCAAGTACAATGGCCAGGGCTCTGCTTTCCTAGGAACAAAGCGATCAGAATTCAGGACTTCCACCTTTCCCACAGCTCCAGGAGGGGCTGATGTTGGGCTTGGTCTTAGGGCTGAAATATGGGTCAGGATTGATGACAGCGCATCCAGTGTGTTTATTTGCGCCTCTAATCAAATATTGTTTCTGAAAACAGTGGTCAAGCAAACCATTTGAGTTGGGTCTAAACCAGTGATTCGCAGGGTCTGCTTACCACATACACTGTAGGTGCAGTGTTCCATCACAGTCCGCAGGCACCAGACATGGTGACCTTTGTGCAGAGACAAAGCAAGGTCTCAGAGCAAGGTTATAAAGATTTGACCAGATATTGTAAGAGTTTCATGGCTCTAACTTTTCTATACTGATGTCCATCCTCTCAAAGCTAATTTCTGTGTGTGGTGTGAAGGTTTAATTTCAAGTCTTCTTATTCAGTGTACATTCAGGTGTTACCACAACATCTGTTCAAGAATCTATTGTTTCCATGTGCAGCGGCTTAACACAGAAAGGAAAAAAAAACCAATTAGCCAACTCTGAGTGGATTGTCTTGGGATCTTCAGGATTATTCTACTGTCTTCATAAAAAAGATAATTTTTTTTTTGGTTTTTTCAACAGGGTTTCTCTGTGGTTTTGGAGCCTGTCCTGGAACTAGCTCTTGTAGACCAGGCTGGTCTCGAACTCACAGAGATCCGCCTGCCTCTGCCTAATTTTTGAGATGCTTGGGGAAAGTTAGTAACACACGCTACCCTAATCTACTGTCTTCTTCCCATGGTAAAATGCTCTGGCGAAAGCAACTTAATGGAGAAAGGGTTTATCTAGGCTCACAGTTGTAGGTTACGGTCCAGCATGGCAGAGAAGTAGAGGTAGCAGAAACTGACGACATCTATCTGCCACATCACATCCACAGTCAAGAGGAGACAGAAGTAACTGCATCTGGGGCTTACTGTTCACCTAAATTTCTCCACTCTTCTAAAGCCCAGGAGCCACACAGAGAAAATGGTGGCACCCAGAGCGGGCTGGGTCTTCCCACATCAATCTTTCCACAGATATGCCCACAAACCAACCTGATGTATGTATTTCCTCACAGAGGCTCTCTTTCCAGGGTGTTCTAGATTGTGTCAAGCTGGCAACTAAAACTAATTTTCATGACTCTGTTCTTTCTCAACTGGAAACGCAGACATTGCTTTAAGCCATCACTTTGCCCTCTTTGTCTGCCAAAGTTTCCTGCCTGTCTCATATTGTAAAATACAGTCCATACTCCATGTTCCCAAATATTCTTAAAATTTCTGACTCTGTTAAAGTCCGAAGTCTCTTAACTACATGCCTAAAACATTGAAAATAGGAAGTTGGAGATAGCTTATATAAAGAGTGCGTTGGTGCGGGAGAATTGTCTGTATTCTGTCAATCATGTTATAAATAAACACTGATTGGCCAGGCAGGAAATATAGGTGGGAAAACCAGACAGGAAGTAGAAATGATGTAATGAGAACAGGAGAATTCTGGAAAGGAGGAAGTTGATTCCTCCCACTCCTGCTCAGATCACCGAAGCAGCAGGATGTGATCTGCCCCACTGAAAAAAGGTATTGAGCTACATGGCTAACATAGATCAGAAAAATGGGTTAATCAAGATGTGAGATTTAGCCAGTGAGAGGCTAGAGCTAATGGGCCAAACAGCTTTATAACTTATAGAGATCTATGTGTGATTTTCTTTGGGGCTAAACAGTTGTGGGGTACCGGGGAGACAGAAATCCAAACAAGCAGGCCTGGTTCCCAATCATGTTACAGTGTGTGTTCTTGCAGAGGACACAAGTTCAGTCCTAACACCCAGGTCTGACAATTCACAATCTCTAGTAACTCCAGCTCCAAGGGATGCCGTGTTCTCTTCTGGACTCCACAGGCACTGCACTCATATGTCCAAACCCACCCAAACAAACAGGTACACATACTTTAAAACAGAAATAAGAATAGAATGAAAAATAAAAAAAATAGAAAAGCTGTGGAGTGCCAGACTGACCCCATACTTTCTCAGGGGCCCTGGTGAGAGGATAAAGGGAACCTTAGTTCTTATCCTTGCCCAGAAGGGTCCTAGACTAGCTTGTCTAGAACTGGAACCAGTGCCTCGGAAGAGTCAATGTTGTGACTTCTGGGGACCTTACTCTTCCTTTTGGCCTGTGGCTATTAGTCCTTAGGCAACCAAGTCTGAGGTGTTGTGTTCTCTTTGCCTACATGGTCTGGCATAGATCTCGGCTGACCTTGCCCATTTTGCGTTCTACAAATAGTCTATATGATGCTATACTTCTTAATAAACTTGCTTGGCATAAGTCATCAGTTTATGCAAGACCTCCTTGTCCCAGCTACTGCATTGTCTTTATTTCTCATTTCTTTGCCTTTGGAGACCCTTTTCCTGTGGGTTTTGGATCGAAAACATGTTGTGTACTTCCAGCATACAAAAGTCTAGAACAAACTTTTTTATTCTAAAGAGCAAGAATCATGTCATTAAACAATTGAATCTATTCAGAACAAAAATCCTGCAGGGAAACGCTAATCTTATAACTCTAATGTCCTGCATCTGTCAATAATAATGGACTCCAAAGGGCCAAGGTAACCCCATTTCTCCAGATCTGCCACCTTCAGGACACACAATTGCTCTCTTAGTCTTGATGACTCTACTCCACTTCTGCAGGTCTCTTTTGTAGGTATCTCACAGTCCTGGCATCTCCAATATCCTGGAGTCTCCACTGTGACTAAGGTTTCACCCTCATAGCTACATACCTGGCCTCTCAGCAGGGTTTCCTATCATGCCACACATTGCATGGCTTCAGTTGTTTCCTATGACCCTACAATCTCACGTTTTTACATCCAAAACCAGGACCCCATAGGTGACAAACACCGCCAAGGTCTGCTGCTAGTCTGAGGTCCCCCTTAGCGGGACCCTGAGGAAAGGCTTTCCTCTTGCCCGCTGCAGAGCAGGAGGCTTCTCTGCCTTGGTGCCGATCTGCTACAGCTGCTGCTTCAGCACCAGCAGGAACATCATTCTACCTTGATATTTTCTCTCCAAAGCAAATAAACCAATCCATTATCTTTACATTCATCTTCTCTCGGGCTCTCGGAATACAGGCAAAATGAAGGTGAGGGATGAATCAGAAAAGGTCTTAATGACACATGAGAAAATGCCACAACAAAACCAGTTCTTTCAATGATAATATAAATAGTTAATTTAAAAAAAGAACAGCCCCAGAAAAATACATTTCTAGCACATATTTTTTAAAAGCTGTCTTAACATACCTACTACCCAGAAGGGTTATACCAACTAGCAATAAAAAGACAAGTACCTTTATTAAAAATAATTGACAATGGTGCATATGGAAGTCACAAAAGAGGAAATTCCAATGGGTCTCTCTGCCCGTGGACATAAGCAGCTGCACATAATACTTTTTGCCCAGAAAATCCATAAAACAAAATACTTGCCAAGACTGGCATCACTGGGCTGGAGGAAAGTTGCAGCTCTCAGAGACCATCCATCACAGTTGTTCAGGATTTACAAAAGATTTTTTTTTCTAACTGATTAAAGTCCTGCACAAACCTTTTAACCCAAGAACTCTACTTTATATCTGTTACTCAGATAATGCAAAGAATATGAACCTACATTCATGTAAAGGAAATATAAAAGAATGATTAATACAGTGTTGTTTATAAAAAAAAGGATAAATGGGCTAATCAATGCAAAGGCTTTAATGTGATTAGTAAAATATTGTATTTATTGGTTTATGATCATGTCTATGATCGTTGTCAAATGCTAAGGCATAGTGAATGAGATAGTGTGTGTGTTATTGTTATTTTACATAATGGATGAATGTAGCTACTCAGTATGGGTATAATTTCTGAAATTCGGAAACTTTATAAATACAGCTAAGAATGCTTTCCTATGGAGGGTAGACTGGTTTCATGCCTTGATGTGTATTTCAGTGACTCTAAACACAATATTAAAATGTAGCTTGAAAGTGTCTTGTGTCATTTTAAAATTAAATTAATACATATAAAATAGTGGGTGTCGTTGTGCTATTTTCATGCATATGTTATTAAACGTTGCCCTTATATAACCCATTCATCAACTATACCACTATATCCTTTGAATCCATTGCTCACCCCCTTACTTCCCACTAACTAGTCCCTCTTTCTGCTTCTTGTTACCTATATTTTACTTCTGTCTCTTTTCTCCACCCCTTCCCTTCAGGTCACTCCTTCCCCTTTCAAGGTACCTTTTTATTTTCATGACCTACACAAACTTACATGAACATGGGGCAAAGAAGAGGGCATATATACACATATTCATATAAATTAAAATCCCAACCATAGGTAGGAATTTATATGCAATTATACCATGGGTAAACATATCCATATTAACAGGGCACCCGTATAGAATTTTCTATTAACCAGAAAGAGTTTCCAGATGCACCCAATGTAAATATCATAACTCAGTAAAGAACGTCTTTTTGTTTTCCAGAGCCTGACCTCTCTTCATGTGCTAAAGGAGAGACAACATACCTTAGAAAGTGGCTTTCCCTGGTGGCAGTTGATCCCGCCAATAAAGACCATATTGGGCATCACAGGTCTGGGGAAATCCAACACAAAGTCAGTGCGTAACAGCCAAATGGACACTTGACTGAAGAGGTCATACATAGTCACTGGGGTCTGGAGAACTTCAGAGGCAATTTCTATGGCAGTTTTGTAAACATAGGGGCAAATTAAATGCTCCGCCGTATAAACAAGATGGTTCCACACTCTCTCCTTGAAAGTCATGTTGTCTGTGAGTCTGAAGAGAACTCTGGGAACATAAGAAAGAGGACTGGGGCACTGGGCACCATCGTCAAGAAAATAACAAAATACTCCTCTAGTGAAGATCACGGATGGGAGCGACAAGTACTTGGCAACAGTCAAGCCGCACACATCGAAAGGATCCAGAAAAACAGCATCGAAAGAACTCTGCTTCAAGTACTCCACTAACTTCTTGTCGTTAAACAAATTCCTACACTGTGAAAATATTAATTCAAAATACTTGCTGTTTGTGTTGTGAAATAAAGAGTAGAGGTTTTCTTCCCAGGGTCTCCACCGAGAATCACTAAAAACCTTGAATTCTCGATCCAAATCCTCCAGAGTGTGAGAAGTTGAGTACATCTTCACAGTAAAATTCAGAGATTTTCCCAGTTGCCAACTCACCTCTGGCACAGCTGCCACCACCTCATGCCCTCTGTGGATGAGCTTCTCCACAACCGACCGCATGGTGAACCAGTGGCTCCCGTCCATGGGTACCACCAGCAGCCTGCCTGCCTGGGCAAAGCCAGAGGCCAGCAGCAGACACACACACAGAGGAAGGGAGGCTGAGAAACCTGCAGGAGCCATTGGAGACATGCAGAACAGGAAGATCCAGCTAATGAGACTCTGGGTTCTTACGACACAGTAGAGGAAAACAGACAGCAAAGCACTCCCAGCAGCTATAGGTGTTTGTATATGCATAAGGGAAGTAAAATTCAATGGTAATGACTCAAAAAGAATAATAACTAATGAACTTCACTGGCTGAAATATCTACTTACGTGTTTTCCAAGTAAAGAAAGTATGATCTTTGCCTTGGAAAGATTATGTCTTCTCTTGCAATACTTGCAATACCGGTTTTGAAAGAGTAATGAAACAATGTGTTTGGATTTTTGGAATTTAGAATTCACTGCCTATAAGGAGTCTCTATGCATCATGCGTTTGTTTGAACATCCTAAGAAAGTAGGCTAAGACTAGACAGTGGGAATGAGCTGGTCAAAAGGAAGAGCAACAGAATGCTAGAGAAGATCATAGGAAAGCCAGTCCCTCACTATAGGATGCTTTGTATTAGGAGGGGCTGGGACAGAACCAAAACAACTCTACAACTCTTGTGGGTGTGGCAGCTTCATAGCTCTGAGATTGCAAAAGACTTGACTGACAACCACTCAGCCTGTGGATGCTGTAAGCCAATAGTCCAGGCACCACCCATGAGAAAAGTAGTATCTCTGAAATACGGGCTGTTTGAGAGTCAGTGGAAAGGTTCCTTTCTTTCCTTCAAGAATAGAATTTCTGAGCCTGACTTCTGAATCATCACCTAGACAGAAGGTAAGAGAGTGTTGAGCCTCTGAACTCTGACAGGCCTCTGAGCCCTCCAGTGATGATGGCCAGGTTTATTTGCCCCAGGTACAATGACCAGAGGCTTTTCTTTGCTGAAGATTTTGAGGTCACTCTGACTTAGGACTTTGCGATGTCATCACAGGTTCAGAACAGAAGCATTGCCAGATTCCCAAACCGGTAATGAGAACAATGTTGCTTGGATACTGGACTTAGTCCTGGTGTTGAGTCATTATAGACAGGATATTTGGCAATGTACTAGCATGTTTAACTAAGAACTCTAATCTCCCTTATTTCTGACTGAACAGTAGTCACGCAAAGTCTTTTGCTTAAGTTCAAAACTCAATGGCTCTAGGTATGCTCCCGGCACGCAGTGCAGGTTCAGCTATCAGGACAGCTGATGCAATAGCACCTGTGGTGAGACTCTCAGAGCCAGGCCTTTCTCCATGTACTAAAGATGAAATAACATACTTTGGAAAGTGGCTTTCCCGGTGGCAGTTGATCCTGTCCACAAAGACCATGTTGGGCATAGCAGGAGTGGGGAACTCCAACACAAAGTCAGTGTGTAACAACCAAATGGAAAGTTGACTGACAAGGTCATCCACAGTCACTAGGGTCTGGATTACGTCAGAGGCAATTTCCATAGCAGTTTTGGGAAATGGGGCAAATGCACACTCCCCCATGTTCTGCACTCTCTCCTTGAAAGTGATGGTGTCTGTGAATTTCGAGAGAATTCTGGGAACATAACTGATGGGGCTGCGACACTGGGCACCCTCTTCAAGATAGTGACAAAAGAGCCGGGCGGTGGTGGCGCACGCCTTTAATCCCAGCACTCGGGAGGGAGAGGCAGGCGGATCTCTGTGAGTTCGAGACCAGCCTGGTCTACAAGAGCTAGTTCCAGGACAGGCTCCAAAACCACAGAGAAACCCTGTCTCGAAAAACCAAAAAAAAAAAAAAAAAAAAAAGATAGTGACAAAATATTGACCTGCCGAAGACCACGGACGGGAGCGACAAGTACTTGGCAACAGTCAAGCCGCACATATCGAAAGGATCCAGAAACACAGCATCAAAAGAACTCTGCTTCAAGTACTCCACTAACTTCTGGTCTTTAAACAAATCCCTTCAGTGTGAAAAACACAATTCAAATAAAACACTGGATGAATGTTGTGATATCAGAAAATATGCTACTGCCCTGTGTTTTCCAGTGAATATCTAAACAACCTTGAACTCATGGTCCAGATACTCCAGAGTGTGAGAAATTGAGTACGTCTTCACTGTAAAATTCATAGATTTTCCCAGTTGTCAACTCACCTCTGACAAGACTACCACCACCTCATGCCCTCTGTGGATGAGCTTCTCCACAACCGACTGTATGGTAAACCAGTAGCTCCCATCCATGGGCACCACCAGCAGCCTGCCTGCCTGGGCAAAGCCAGAGGCCAGCAGCAGACACACACACACAGAGGAAGGGAGGCTGGGAAACTTGCAGGAGCCATGGGACATGTGTAGGACAGGGGAATCTAGTTGCTGAGACCCTGGGCTCTTCTTACACAAGTGGAGAATACAAGCAAGAATGCCCCCAGTGGAAGTGATTTCATATTTACGTGTTAATAAAAATATCATACACACTGCCAATAAGTGAACTTAGAAGATCAAGGATTAGTAAACAGTAACGACTGAGATACTTGCATGTTTCTGATAAGAATAGCATATGCTCCTAGCTATGGAGAGAATCATGTTGTGCAAGGTAAGTGTTGAGACAGAATTTTAATCAATGATCTTGGACTTTGAGAGCTCAGGAAGATTAAAATGAGAGGGAATTTGAAGAGTCATTGCCTTTCTGGATGTTTTCCAGAAGCAATTATTGGGCTGTGTGCTCAGAGTAATGAAAACTCTCTGCTCAGAAACAAGTTGGCCAACAATTTCCAAGGGAGTACTGGGAGATCGTTCTTCCTGACCTGGCTGGCAGCGGAGTTGTTTGTCATAAGCAACTCTGCATTGGACAGGCACTGCAGCTTGTTCTGGTCTGTTTGCTGCAGAATTATCCTTCCCTTTCCAGACACAACCCTCTCTGTGTGGCTATGTTAAAACTGAAAACTCACCTCCATGGACTGTTACAGGGATTAGATCGTCTACGATTATCATCTATTTCACATGACTTTCTGTGCGTGCATCTGGTACATTGGACTTGATAAACTATTTTTGTCCCCCACTAATCTTGGTCAAGCAGACAAGCCTTTATTAAATACTTAATTAATCACAGAAAATATCAGTGGTAAGCAAGACTACTAAAGAGTCACAATGCCTCCACCAGAAGAACTCGTTCAGAACCCCAGCCAACAGAAACTTGCTGGAATTCTAACAATGCAGGAATGAATACATTGGTCAGTGTAGACAGCACACTTGGAAAGAAATAGGTAAAGGGTTTCCCAAGAAGAGGAGTTAAAATAAAATACAAAAAGTCCACCAAAATCCAAACAAAGGATCCCTAGAATTTTTAAAAAGATTTTTTCTAGAGTATCAAAAAATACGTGAATATTAACCCAAAGACCCCAGAAAATGAGAATGGTTACTGTGACTTTTGTAAGATAACATGTCTCTGTTGTTCACAGGAAAATCTAAACGTTAGAAAGGGCTACAGGAATGAATACATCTCCATTGGTGGAAACTGACTTTAAAGTTCATTGTGCAACAGATGCTGAGATCAACGATTAATAAATGGGACCTCCCGAAACTGAGAAGCTTCTGTAAGGCAGAGGACACGGTCAATAAGATAACACAGCAACCTGCAGAATGGGAAAAATCTTCACCAACCCCACATCTGACAGAGTGCTGGCCTCCAAAATAATAAAGAACTCAAGAAACTAGACAATAAAACACCAAATAATTCATTTTAAGAATGGGGTACAGATCTAAACAGAGTTCTTAACAGAAGAATCTCAAATGGTAAAAAGACATTTAAGGAATTTCTCTACATCCTTAGTCATCAGGGAAAAGCAAATCAAAATGACTCCGAGATACCATCTTACACCTGTCAGAATGACTAAGATCAAAAACACTGATGACATCTTACGTTGAGAAAATATGGAGTAAGGGAAACACTCCTCTACTACCGGTGGGAAAGCAAACCTGGAAATCAGTACGGCAGTGTCTTAGAAAACTGGGAATCAATCTACCTCAAGACCCAGCAATACCACTCTTGGGCATATACCTAAAGGATGCTCAATCATACCACAAGGACACTTGCTCAACTATGTTCATAGCAGAATTATTCATAATAGCCAGAACCTGGAACAATCTAGATGCCCCTCAACCGATGAATGGATAAAGAAAATATAGTACATTTACACAATGGAGTATTACTCAGCTGTAAAAAACAATGACATCATGAAATTTGCAGGCAAATGCATGGAACTAGAAAAAAATCATCATGAGTGAGATAACTCAGACCCTGAAGGACAAACATGGTTATGTACTCACTCATAAGTGGATATTAGCCGTAAAGCAAAGATAACCAAGCTATAATCCACAGCTCCAGAGAAGCTAGGTAACAAAGAGAAACCCTAAGAGAGACTCATGGATTCCCCTGGGAAGGGGAAAAATAGATGAGATCTCCTGGGTAAACTGGGGACAGATGGGGGTTGGGGCAAAGGTGATGGGAACATGAAAGATTGGGTTGGTTGAGTTGGGAGTCGAATGAAGAGGGAGAGTAATGAAAGTGATATCTTGATAGAGGGGGCAATTTGGGGGTTAGGGAGAAAACCGGTGCCAGGAAAATCCCCAGGAATCCACAAGGATGACCATAGCTAAGACTCATAGCGGAGAGAGAAAGAGAGAGTGCCTGAATTGGTCTTCTCCTGTAATCAGATTGGTGACTACCCTCATTGTCAACAGAGAACCTTCATCTAATAACTGATGGAAACTGATGCAGAGATCCACAGCCAAGCCCTGGTCGAATTCAGGGAGTACAAATGATGAGAGGGAGGAAGGACTGAAGAAGCAAGGGCAGTCAAGATCATGATGGGGAAATACATAGACACAGATGACCTGAGCATTAATGGGAGCTCACGACCCTGGACCGACAGCTTCGGAGCTTGCATGGGACCTAGGCCCTCTGTGTATAGATGATAATTGTGTCGCTTGGTCTGTTTGTGGGGTCCCTAACAATGGGAGCAGTATTTGTCTTTTTGGAACCCATTCCCCATGCAAGGATGCCTCACCTAACCTTGAAGTAGGGGGAAAAGTTTGGTCCTACCTCTACATGATATGACATGCTTTGTTGACT